AATTATCATCTAATCTAGATTATACGATTATCGAAACTTATAACTGGTTTCACCGCTCTACTAAGAAAGGAATCTTATATGGATTTATGCAAGAAAGTAAATGATAGAAAGGACTGCTGATTCCTCTCTCTGCACATATGTGGCTAGCAATGAACAAAAAGAGTTCTTGATCACTGGAAAATACTTTAAAACTTTATTTTCATATTTCTTCTTCAACATGTGAGAAATATAAAGCTAGCTCCACAAAATGTATACGGATCCTACAAATGAGCTGTATTTGTCATTCATAGCTTCTATTTGATCAGACTTTAAAAATTTACCTTTTCAAAGTGATCGTGCTGATCCCTGTAAATTCCCCACAAATCTTGAAGATTTTACACATTTTGGCTCACGATAATTTATCCTAAATATATAAATCTCGCCATTATCTGTGTGTCTATTTATTTATAGACAGAAAATATTGACTTCGGTTTTCGGTTACAGAAAACATTGACTTCGATTGATTTTAATCTCGTATGATAAATAAAACTAATGAATTTCAACGGAATCTCAAAATATTATTTACTCGTAGAAAAGATGATATGAATTCTTAAGAAGTGCATGCAGAGATTTTTTTTTTTAAGCTCATTCCCTCAAATGACACAGCATTAAAAAAAGTTGAGAAATTTTCACCCACTAAATGCCTCAGTCGAGCTCGTCGTCTCTTTTCTGATCTTCCCTTGGAATTTGAGAATCACTCTAGATTAAATATAATTGAAAGTCAGAGAAGACAACTACTCAGTAATGACTTATCAGGTATTTTCTCCCTCCTTCCAGCTTGCCTTCGTGGTGTAACGGTAGCACATTCGGCGCGTATGCGAGAGGTCCAGGGTTCGAGTCCCGGCGAGGGCATTGCACATTTTTCACCTCTCCTGTTTCAAAATAACTTAATACCTCTACAATGGCGCCCGAACTAAAAGGTGGTGGACAATAATTCGTCCCCACCAGGATTTGGTGATAAGGTCCTCTGATCCCAGTCATCATTTAAAAGGGGAAGTGTATAAGGTATTTTCATATTCCTTTTCCAGCATACCTTAGTGGTATATTATAGCATAGTATATTATATAATCGGCGCGTATTCGAGAGGTCCAGGTTCGGGTCCCGGCGAGGGCACTGCTCATTTTTTATGTCTCCCGCTTTAAAATAATCTAATGACTCTACAGATGTTTTTCTTTTTCGAATTCTAAATGGTTTTTCGTTATTTGTTCCAAGATTTTAAAATTAAAGATGTTCTTAGAAGTCTTGTTTAAAAGGATGTTGCTACATTTGTTTTAAAACTTTACAGAATACCGATAAACAATGCTACTACAAAAGGGTATTTTTAAGAATCACTTCGGCCCAAACCAAAGTTTGAAACAGAATGTGTTTGGGACTGCTAGATTCCCTACTTCGAATAAAAATATTGGAAGAAGAATAATATGCTATGATGGCTTTTTACTTGAATGATGTGTGTGTGTTATTATGGCAAAGCCTCGAGGGCTATCTGCCTAACAGGAGGGATGCCTTCGTGGAGGACTTTCTAAGGGAAACTGGCTCGTATACATGTTACACATGGAGAAAACCATGAAAACGCCCATGCAGCCAGCCCGTTCGCAGGATTCGAACCTCGGACAGAACTACCAGTGTTCGGCGACTTTACCGCTCGGCCGCTGGTGGGCTTACTTGAATGATGAAGTGCTATAAAATGCAATTTTCTTTTAAATAATTGTAAAATAAAAAATGCGCGTTATGTAACAGGAATTTTTTTTTCTTCTGACCAATAGTATATTAATTAAGTATGTTATAAAATTATATTCTGTAATATATATTATTTTATTTCAAGTACTTACCGATTTATTCTAAAATAAAGAAAAACGTTATCAGAATTAATCATACAGATTAAACAATACAAAATAATACAATGTGAAAAATTAATTTTTCAATGTTATTAAATCCCGTATCTCTACAGTACAACAGAATATGATTACAGTATGCAACTACTTCGATGCAACTACTTTGAAAATGGTCTGCATTTATAAGAACCTAAATTAATATTATCTCTGTAAAACGAGAATCAAGATTAATTGAAAATCAAGAAATAGAAAATCAAGAATAGAAAATCAAGATTAATTGGAATCATAAGTGATTATTTTAAAGAGTATTCTTTGCGTTTGTTCCATAGTACGAGTATATAGTATTTAAAATACTGCTTTATTGGTTTCTGAATGAAATATTTTTAGAAGTGATATATACTGTCTAAGCAAAACAGTGTTAAAACTTCAGAAGTTATGACATGACTATCTGTTTATAACTAGAGTAACTATCTCATTGTATTTACAAAATTCCGAGACATCATTGTTTACACTTTTTTCCCTCTATTAAAATTCTGTAAGAAATTCAATATTAAATTAATGACAATCTTTATTTATTTATTTGGATATCTTAGTAATTTTCCTGCTTTCTATGCTAAAAATTTCTACTTAGGTAAAGACGGTAATACTATATATATAAGTAATAAATTCTGTGTAGATACTTAATTCTTTATTGTATATAGGAAATTACAGAGCTGCGTAGATTGCATAACAGAGAAGAAAAACTTTCAGACGTGGCAGGTGATTTCAACACATAAGTTAATTTCTGATAATTAATTCTTAGGACACATACTCTTGTTTACACATCTTTATGGATGCGATATGCAACGCCCCCCAAAAAATTGAATATATTTAGGCAATAAACGAAGTGGAATGACAAACGATGCGTGTCTTAGCGAGCAGCGAGCGAAGCAGGGATGAAAGAGATGCACAAGCGTAGAAGCGATATTTACAGTAAAAAGTTTCTTTAATCTGATTAGATGACAATCATCCACATTGCAGCAGGATTATATAAGAAACATGAAACATGTTGATTTGGAAAGACGCAGCTCAGAAAGTTATTATAAACAATAATATAAACATTTTTTTTTTTTTTTTTTCTTTTAGAACAGAAAGGAGAGAGAGCTAGATTAAAATGAGGAATGAAGAGAACTATTGCCAAACTAAAGTTATGTATAGATATAAAGATAATATATATAATTTCAAAAATTAATAGTAAAAATATTGTAAATATTGTGCTCAAGTTGTTTGCTTTTTGTATAAAAGACAATTTAAAATTTTTTCATGGATAAAAATTGTGTTATTGATAGATAGGCCAATTCCGTACAAACAGTAGTAATTAAGGGGAAAATATTGCAAAGGAGTGTAAGGCAGAATTGCGCACCTGAATACTAATATTGATGACTTCATTGCTCTACAAATTTTGTTTTTACATCAATTTTCCCCTCTCATTCTATGATTATAACGAATCGATTTATATCCTGCACGCCATATATTAGGCATTCCAAAAGAAAAAGAAATTAAATTTATTCTCCTAATAAAATATTTTAATCTCTCTAATTAAAATATTGCTAAGAACTAAACAATAAAGATGACTTAAAAATCAAAGTGACGTCAGTTTTCTAAATAACAACACGAAGAAACTTAACAGTTAAAAACAGAGCTTTTGTTTTATAAATATTATTTGTTTATCAGAATCTTATAAAGTAAGTCCATCAAGAATGTGTCTTAGCTTGAATGAAGATGTGTCTTAGTTTGTGTCTTAGTGAACCGAAATTTCACCAAAAAGTATTAAAAATTAAAATAAAGCAAAAAAAAAAAAAAAAAAAAAAAAAAAAAAAAACGTGAATTAAAAAAAATAAACTGTCAACTCATATAAAATAGCGTATAAGCGGTAATAATCCAAACATGAGAAAGCACTTAGCATCTATTATATGAATAATATAATTAAAATACGAAAATCTAAATTGACAGAAGAAATAGATATTTAAGCAATGGAAAATTAGCAATATAATTTTAAAATTTTCGTCAAAACTAAGATAGTATATTATTAAAATAACTAAAAATTAAATTACACAGTGCTTAAATTATTGAACCAATGGAAAGTAAACTTGTAATGATGTCAATGGTCATGTGAACCTGCGTAACTATGACATCACAAAAATCATGTATCTCTGATGTCATGTACAACTTTTTGCTATTTTAAGATTCTTCTCCCTCTTTAGCTAAAAATTTCTGGCAACACTTGCTTAGTAAAGCGAATTAAAACTTGCGCTAGTGATAGTTTCGTAGGTCTAACTTCACCTTCTTAAGAATTCTGTTTCCACAATTCCTCTCTCCGCGTTTTTCAAAATTCTTCCTGTTCCCACGAAATTGGACAGTGCAGTCCTCCTCCCGCAGATGTCATGATGAGTCATTAAGAAGAGCTGGGCAGTTTCATTGTGAATAAGTTAGTCTTCCTTAGAATGAAGATGTGTCTTAGTTTAGGCTCCTCTTGAAATCTTTAGTTTTCATTCTATTTGTAATTCTGCTACAGTATTAGCTGTTATTTTCACATCTTATGTTAATAAATATGGTTGTTTTAGACATTATTGAAACTAAAAGGAAAAACAAATAATAAACCTTTAGCCCTTTATAAAGGTTATCAATATCGAGTTCGGAATACACATAAGGAAAACGTAGTTTATGGGATTTACATAAATGAAAGAATTAAAAGCTGCAAAAGCGAGACCATAGCAGAAGTAGTTTAAAAAAAAAAAGTCATTTTAGAACTTCGTTTTAGAACGAATATTTATTCTGAAAGATTTTATTATATCTCACCTTTATGCAGAATTTCGGAAGAATATTATTTTTTACTTGAGGAAATGATCTTTTAGTTCATTGCCAAAATCATCGCAGAGTTTGAACATCTCTCTCTTTCCTTTTAAATACAATATTAACTTCATTCATCCAAATATCTGAGATAGTAGATATTTTTCAATTATTCTTTTAAAAATTCTTTTTTTTTTTTTTTTTTTTTTTTTTTATTTTATTTTATTTATTTTTTTTTATTATTTTTTTTAATCTAAATTTTTTTTTGCTTTCCTATATTTCGGGAGAAGTCAGTGTCCAGTCAGCCCCCTCCGAGGTAATGAAGATTGATGATTTCGCGGAAACAGGAACGTTTTTGACAACCGTGAAAACAGGAATCGCAGAAACACGAAGACGCCTTAAGAAGTAAGTGAAGATGGAATTAAAATTTAATTGGAAGAGAGAACTATCAATTTACTGCAATGCAATAAAATTTTGCTTAAACCAACCACTACTAAACGAAGTTTTTTATCACCTGAAAAATGTACGAGCAATGCTTTGTTTTTCTTATAAATCATTCTACTATTTTACTTTGAAAAAGTTTATTGTTCTCGTTATCGAAAAATTCGCATCCAACATAGATAGATATTGTTTACAAGTGACGCTGAATAAGCTATTTCATTTATCTTCGATAGTATAAAAGTGCGTTACTGAATACAGGGTTAATTAGAGTAAAACACATCTCTTATACGTCTTTCTTTCTCAGCATTTGTATAGAGTAAAATAAAGAGATGATCATTACTTTTTTTCTGTTTCGTCCTTCTATCTACAAATTTTAAACTCTGGGGAAAGAAAGAAATATTTTAAGGGGGGAAAGCAAATGTAGAAGAATAATTCAAGGGCAAAAACAACATGTAACAGCAGTTATGCATCGTATAAAAGAATTATTTTACTATTAACTTGAATAGAAATGAATTAAGGTCGGGCTGAAACAGCACACAAGTGTAAAAGACGCCTAAATGAGAAACGTAACTTAAAAAGACATTTTATGCGGATTTCTTAGTAACATTTTGTTGTAAATATTTTATTATACTACGAGTATTACAAGTAAAAATCATTTCTAATCATTTGTAATAGGTTAACCACGAAATTTCTCACTGTAGAGCTTGTGTACCGGAGAATATCAACATTCACCAAATACGTCGGTGAAAGACCGAATATTTCACTACATTCTTGTATATTCGGACCCTTACCGGTGTATGTCGACAATCACAGATATGCTCTGATGAAAGTCGAAAAGAGAGGTCATAAAGTGCCATAATAGTTTAAGTTGTTGCAATAAATAAGATTTGAATCACATAATTTAGTAAGTTTTTTATTACTGTTATTTTATTTTCTCATTTAGAACGTACTGTATAATTAAGTAAGTTTTTAACTTCTATTGTTTTCCTTTCTCATTTTGAATGTATTGTGTGTTTTAGGTTCTCATGTTCTTAAGTTCTTATTTTAAGTCTCAAGTGCGTTTATTCGCGACTGAATTACGGAGAAGAAAATATAATATTGTTATATGTTCAACATTCACCATTAGTACATGGTGAATGTCGACATTCACCGGTGTAAGTCAGAAATAAGAGTATTTGGAAAATATTTCGGACATAACACCAAGAGACTAAGGGAATGTTGACATTCACCGGTGAAAGTCGACATTCTCCAGATTTCGGTGTTTCACCGTAACATATATACTGTATTATCAACTGCGTTAATAATTTATGACGAAATTTTATAGAAACTTTAGAATGCAGCTTCTTTATACCTTTCTTTTGCTCTTTCCCATTCTCATTTTTTATTCTAATAGTAACATGCTTTTAAAAATATTTTGATAGTTTACTTTTTATATGCAAAAGCAACAGAAACAAAGGCCGTAACTTTTAGATTCTTTTCAAATTGAGAGCTTCTTTTATAGTATTATTTAATATTGTTCTAGACTGAAGAATAGTTAACAGTATAGGTATTACTTTTGTATGGGAAAAAAAATAGAAATGTTTTTATGCGTTTTAATATTTAAACTTTTTTTAAATAAATTTCTTTGGACTCCGAGGGAATCGTATTTTCTGATAACGTATAAAACACGTCCTAGCAAAATAAAATCAGGAAACATGATTTTGCATCTGAAATTGGCAGAAAGAATCTAGAAGTACTTATCTGCAAGAGATGTCGTTGCTGGAAACGAAAGATCTTTAATTTACCCTCTATGAGTCCTTCTACACAGCCGTTTCTCACATATTTGTGTTTATTAAGTTATGAGAAAGTACAATGCAGTTGTCTGTCGGAAAACGCGCGTAAAGTCAGCCCATACGCTGAAATTAAACGGTCTTATCCTCAGCTACTGGCAATTGTTTCTCAATGTTACAATTCGGGAAAGGTCAAGATCTTAAATTTATCTTCTAGATCAAAGCAAATTCTTAATGATTAATAAATTCCCCGATTTAAAAGCAATAAACGCCGTTTCTTAACAATTCAAATGTTTATTTTCTTTTTAAAATGCATGTAATTGTAAAATGCACTTAATTTATAATGAACATTCTCAGCTTTGTTGTAATTGATAAAACATGTTTCTGAACCCATATATTAAATAACTGGTGCAAAAAAATTCTTCATTTATTTTTCTTTCCATACCTGGAAATTTTTCGTTAAGGCGTTAAATTGTGATGTGAAGTTTTCAGTTTCTAGACTTATTTCAATTTATTTAAGATTTTTAAGTCTGCAGTCTGAAAATTTATTTTAAAAATCATTTTTAGTTTTTAAATATTTTTTCAAATCGTTTTTTAATCTTAGTTGTGCTCAGAAATTCCTTTTCAAGCTGTGTAGAGGTTTGCTGAAGGAGGAAACAAAAAGTATGCAAGATCATCGCTGGGATTCAAACTCCGAACTTGCCGATGTCCAACCGGACGTACTTCCAGTTACACTATGAAGTTATGCGGTAAGAATAGAGAAAATATCTTTTCTAGTAGAGATAGCACAAATATTCATTTCCAATTTGGGTCTGTTTATTTACGAATTAGGTTAGGGGTGTGTTCTGCCCCCCAAAAAAAGATTTTTTTATAATTTTATTTATTTACCTTTCTTAATTCATAAGTAATTGTACACTAATGCTCAGAATATAGATAGAGCGTTTCGATGGATTCCAGCCCATTTGAGTATCGAAGGTTCTCATTTCGTCCGGGAATGGTTTTCTGCTCATCCCTGGCCGAAATTCTCGATATCTGAATTAAATTGGACTGAATATGTATATAGACGTTCTTTGCCCCAGCTGTCACATTCTCAATAGTAAGGCAAAGAACATCTATACATATTCTTTGACTAAGGACTAAGAATGAGGCATCTGAGGGGCATGAAGATCGTGCCTAATGGCACCAGGGTATAATGGGAGTGTATGCACTGCCGGAACACACAGCTAGACGCTGGACTCCAGGCGTCTCTTGGTCTGTCCCAAAGAATATGTAGACTTTCTTTGCCTTCATAGACTTTCTTTGCCTGTCCTGCTGTCGCAGCGACCATCAAAGAATATCTTAGACCATCAAAGTATCTCCTTAGAGATTTTTTGGCGACCATCTTCCAAACTGACAATGATTGGACCAGAGATATTCTTTTCACGGACAGAGTCGAGGACGTGGCCAGGGCAGTGCTTCATGACTTTGGCTCTATTTTACTTCCTGTCCCTATTCCGTCCTATCTCTCTCTCTCTCTCTCTCTTTAGCACTTACCGGGGACACGGCAACAAGAACAAAAGAACGTACGTATTACTTACAACCTGAAGGTAATCAAGCAATAATTAACATTAAAACTTGCGAGTACACATGCTACATTTATTGTGTTGAATTCTCCATTTCCTTCATAAAGTCTTCCTGTATACGTAAAGTTCTGTTTTTTTTAACCTTAATCTCTCTACATCATTTAACAAAATGGCTAATACAACGAAACACGAGTAACCCCGTTCTAGATTCAATTATTACCTAATTCTCCTTAGTTACATCTGTCGAGGGCCGATAAATAATTATCTGCTAATTCAGGGTTTCTTAAACTCTGGGTCGCGGGACCTGCAGCAAGGTTCGCCAAAAATTTTAGCAATTTTCATATTTCTTTAACTTATTATAATAATTTTACAATTACCAAAGATTTTTACACAATGTATCTGAAAATAGATAAAGACAAGACAATACAGACAAAGAAAAAACGTAAATGTTTCGACGCATTCTTTTTATAATATAAACGTTCATTTTACTTGCTTGGCACATGACGTTGTCATTTTGTCTGTTACTTATTTAAAATTTTCACATTGTTCTATGTCTTAAAATTAAAAATTAAAGTTAATGACTGTCAATTTTTCACATGTACTGTAATAGTATATTACAGTACATGTGAAAAAATTGACAGTTTCACTCACGCGTGTGTCGGATTTGCGCAATTCTTATGCGGTTCCACAAAATTTTTGTAAATATTATGAGGTCCTGGGGGTCGCGAAAAAAATCTAAGTGATAAAAAGGGGCCGCGACTGAAAGAAGTTTGAGAAACTCTGTGCTAATTCATATTTTAGATTACGTATAAAGCCTTCCAAGCAGCTTCCGTTGTCTAGCTCTTTGAACTCACCAGTGGCTGATCGGGAAAGTCGCTGAACGCGAATTTTTTGGTAATTCGATATGGGTTTGATTCCTTGAGAATGGGCGAGCTGCATAGGCGTTTTCGTTATTTTCCTAATGTGTAACATGAATAAATCCAATTTCTCTTAAAAAGTCCTCCACAAAACCATCCCCCCTTATACGCAGATAGCCCATGTTATTGCCTTGCTTTAATGAATTAACCTAACTTAATCCTGAATGCTTTGTTAGCAAATTAATTGCTTTTTCCCATTTAAGTGATTTAAATGAAGGATATTCATAAAATTATATGTATTATTTTATAAGGTGTGATTATAATTATAACTGGTTTTAAAACATAATTAGCTAGAATCACACAAAAATGAAGCTCGTTAGTAAAATAACAGCTTGTAACATAGAACCACAAATTCTTCGGCGCTTTAATTGAGGTGCATTATAAGAAAGTGTATTTATTTGTTTGACAAAAGTTTAATTTTCAATTCTGAATACCTAATAAAAGAAGGAGGGCTTTCTTGGGGAAGAAAACATTGTCCAGTTGTCAATGGTCAGTACAGAAACCTGCCTCTTCGACGGGCACTCCTCCTTTGTGGCCCCAAGGGAGCTAGTTCATCTTCATTCATATCATTCCCTTTCAGCGTTCTTCTGTTTATGATGTCCGCAGAGCCAGTGAAAGCGTGCTGTCTGCTCTTGTCAGTCTGCTTCCCTCCCTGTATGAGTTTGCCCTCCTCATCGTTTGTTTGGTTGCTGAGAAATCAGCAGGGAGATTTCCCCCTTTGCTTTTTGTGATCCTCGTCTTGCGACGACGTACAGATCCTAGATAAAATCTTGGCTATAGGTACTAACTTATCTCTAAACGGTATGTTAAGTAAAGTAATATGGTATCTTAAGTTGAGAATTAACGCATTCATTATTCTGCGGTTTGCAAACAAAGATTCCATTTAATTTATGGATTATTAACACTGATTTGTTATAGTGTCACTTACTGATTTCACATTGAGCTATTAGGAATTAAAAGAATGCGCTTTCACTGAAGCATAATCAACATAAGCTAGCAATAATGGAAAGTTACAATGCGGCGTTAAACCTCGATTGGAGACGAAAAGTCTGCTACCTGAAATTTCAGTCTTTATCTTTATGTCCCCCCACCCATTGCCAAATAAAAGATGTCTTTGACTTACAAATGACAGCGAAGTTAACAAGATGTGTTGATCAGAACTATAGCTTTCATCTGAGTGTTAAAAACCGCTCTGCTTTTAAAACAGACACTTCAAAATTTTCTTTGTTTCCTATTAATCATGGAAAATATAGAACATTTAAATGTTCTACCATTACTATGATAGTAATTTGTGTTATTCATTTTAATCATAGTAAATAGGCTTTGAAACTTAACAATAGATTTTAGGATTCTTGCGATATATATATGTCATAATAAGAGCAAATCAAAAGACGGAACACTGTAGATGCGTGATTAGACCCATACTGAAGAAGATTTTGATTGCGTAGTATATGCTAGTAATGCTAACTTGGTAATATCTAAAGAACTTGGCAGTCGAGGCAGTTTTAATTCCGTTTTTATTTGCAACTGATATTTGTGGCCACAATCACTTGGCACTCTAGTCGCGCCTTTCCACAGAAGATTTACATTTTTGATATTGTTGAGATAGAAAGCAAGCCAGCGAAATTACATCTTAGCACAGTAGAGAGCAAAAGCTGAAGTGCGTAGTTATGAAGGATGGAAGCACGACGAAGCGAAAAGTTTTGGTTTACAAAGGCAGTTTCAGTTCCCAATTATTACGTCATCAGAGCTTTGAGGGCCATAGAGTGATCTAGAATGACGCAATGCAGAGAAGTTATTACGATTTTAGAATAGAAGAAGAATTAATGTTTATAGTTTAAACTATAATTTGATTCATATATTTTTATCTTACACATATCCCCCCCTTTCAAGGAAAAAGGCAAGTCGTAGCGACAGAGCAAGCCTTTTTAAAGAGAAAGTTAAAGCATAGCAAATGTCAAAACAAAAATAATAAATGATAAAATTTTGATTCTATAAAAGTATAATTTATAAATATCAAATTTTTAATTTTTAGAGTCCTATTGAATTTTTCAGCATTTCAGTCCAAACGTCTTTTTGTTTGAGAGTTCACATAATCATAATTCTTCAGGGTTCTTGTTATTACAGAATATCACAAAATAAAACTTTTACATAACCATTACTTATACTTAAATGTAATACACATAAATATTTATGATATTAATTTTCATATTGATAAGTTATATTTTAATACTATATAATAATAGGAGTAAGCTTCAGAAAATATGGTTTCACCGTTATAATCTTTCATTTACAATTCCTGTATTATACCAACTGGAAGGCCTCGCAATACTTCTAAACAAACCATATCCATCAATAGGGCTGTCCTCTTGAGCTAACCAGTGTGTTCTATGCACTGATGGCCCAGGGTGCCTAGGCAGTTTACTTGAAAAAGGCTCCGTTCCTTGCATTAAGGTAACTGGCCTTTGAGAACGGCACTAATACATTCCATAATAAAAAAATATAATAATAATAATTAATAATATAAAAAAATTACACACACTCATAAAATGAGAGCCTCCAACATTATCTTACTTAAAGAGGGTGAAGGGAACACTGTACAGAGGTAATTACAGGCCTCTGCTTAGAAACCCAGTACTCCCTCGACATACACTACTATACTAACATACATCACCCATAAATTTAACGTGCATTTAGCATAATTTCATATTACGTTTCTGTAATAATTTCACTTATTTTTTACCCCTACTTCATTTTAGAATAATTATAAAATTCGTATTCAAAATTCCAAAATTCTCAACAAAATTTCAAAAACATAAAAACTTATATATATATATATATATAAGAATAGTAGTAGGTAGAAACATTGCAACGATCTTGCTAAAAAGTAACCAGGAGCTGTAGCTCCACGAAATATTTCAACGCTGTATTACTAAGAAATATAAACTAAGAAGAAATTTTTTGTCTGGAAAGATTTATCTGGAAAAAACTTGTAAACACGCGAAAAACATCCCGAAAAAGACTGCCAAAATTAATGTTGGAAGAAATGCTGAATGCACGCAAAAAATTAATCTGACCGTTATGATATGTGAAAAGTTAACTCACATAAAAAATAGATTGACGGGGAAAAAAAATATATATATATACATATATGAAAAGTTAAAACATATAAAAATATATGGACTGAAAAAATGCCAATACATAAAATGCAAAAATTAAAATGAAAACATAGTTTGCTACAATACAAAAATACAATAATTACATAGCGGA